ATCATAAAATTGTGCAACCGTTTGAATGCATCTATTATGTTTACCTCCGCAAACATTGTGCACGTGCTATTCGAATTATTTAATTTAGTTTGGCCACATCTATTTAAAGCAATGATAGCTATTTTAATATAAATGCATCAAAGCTCCTAGTATGGTCCTAACATCTGCGTAGTTAACAAATTATGCTTCAAAAATAGCCTAGAATCAATCGATACATTTACTTTCTTACTATAGCGTTCTGTATAGTTGGGCCCATTGAAAACGACAATGGAAATTTTTTATGTACCCACATCGCATACATAGCTAACATAGAGCTGTGTGTGGCTTCAGCATAAAGCTTTGGCTTTACATAAATTGTTATATGTGTACAGCTTATTTAACTTTCAAATTGTTTCAAGTTTACTCTTAGATTTTCTTCTCAATAAACATTTATATATTTAAATTAGGTAGGTACTAAAACAAGTTTCCCTTGAAAATTAAGTGAAGGGGTTTGGGTGATATGGTATTGAGATAAGATTAATTTTGTTTCAGCATTTCACAATCTCGATAGTTTCTATTCTTATTTTTTAATTTCCAACTCTATTACTGCTGATAGCACGTGAGCGTATAATTAAAAATTTTATATACAGTTTATTTTTTATATCTTTTTAGTTTTACATCATTTTTAATTTCCAATTTGTAATAATGTATATTTCAACTTCAATAAAGATAAACGTTTACGTGCCATGTTTATGCTAAATTATATTATTAAGGCATATGTGATTCATTGAATTTTTCCTGCCCATGAAATTTGTGCAGATTCGTAAACTTGTTTGAATGCTGTCAAGTGTTACAACTACTACGCTTTGTAATTATATTTACCAAACAATCGAATACCTACATGACGGAAGTAATTAGTATCGTCCAAACTTGGCTAGTCAAACATTTAAACGAATACCTGCATAAATAAGCGATCGTTCGTAGAGAGAAATTAAAAGTGGTACTCACACCGCTGGCGCTGTCCTGATTCTTGTTTTGCAGATTTCTCAATTATATAACTGTCGATTCTATTGGAAACTGCTTTATGAGAAGTGACGGAGGACTGTCTTATTAACCGATTTTGTTTAACAACATAGATATCGTTGCCGATAATATGTATCGTATACAAGAAGAATTTCTTTTTTTAATGCTGCTTTTTACACCTTACTAAAAACAACATTTATTTACTAATAGAAGGGAATAGAGCTATATTAGTTATCTAACTGACGTTTCGACTTTTTTATTAATTTGTCATCAGAACAGTAATTGTTGATAAATGATGTAAATGCTACGAGAGTTTATCCAAAATATGTTTGACATAATAGACCACTTAACCTTCAACAAAAGCAAAAATATTTCAATATTTTTAAATGTCGATAAGTCCCTATGACTTTTTCTATGAATTAATATAACGTTTTAACCTTATTTTCGTACATTAATACAGAAAATACAGAACCTTGCCATAAAATGATGTCTTTAACTATACAGGGTGTCCCTCATAAGAACCGGCACAGGGCAGGGGATGTAGGGGTGTCCAAAATATTGTAATTTAACCAAACTTACCTATATACAAAGTTGCACCCCACAGCAGTTATTAGCCTCCAAAGTGGGGCCCTAAATTTCGAAAAAAAATTAATATCTCTGCAACACTTTACCGCACAAGAACCTTTGGTACATGATTTAGGTTTATTACTGGTCTTTGACTATGATTTATAGTCCAATCCTCACGGATAGGATGTTCTTCCAAGTTATCCGCGATAGGGTCTCTTCTTCGACTTAATTACCTTCTTCCTCGATTTCGTCGAATATTTGCTTAAGAACTGTCTCCGTATCTTTCTATTCATCACTGTCTTGCAGATCAACATCCGAATTGCCGCAGGTACCTACCATTGTAATTCGCGCAGATAACGGACCACTTTAGTCCAGCCATTCTGCATCCACAGGCTCCTCGACATCCTTTTTTACATTTGCAAGAAATTAGTTTTAGCAAGTTTGCTGGAGCTGGGGGCTCGAGTGTGGTGAGAGGAATTAGCCTCTCCACCGCTTTGCATTTTTTCCAACTCCATACCACTGCTGAACCTGGTGATAGGTTCGGAACGAATGTTGTCGTGCTGCTGATTCTGTCGGTGGCAGCGATGCAATATTAAATTTATTTTTAAATGCTGACTTCATGAAGCATGTACATCTGTAAGTGTTTAACGGCATACTTTTTACGCCACTGTAACAGTACAACGCAAGGAGGAAGCGTTCTTCAGCTTCAGCAATACTTTCCGGGTCAGGATTTGGGTTTTTAAATACCCGGACGAACTCGTTTAAATCTAGGTGGTTCTTTAATAAATTCTTTAAATAAATTTAATATTGCATCGCTGCCACCGACAGAAGCAGCAGCACGACAACATTCGTTCCGAACCTATCTCCAGGTTCAGCAGTGGTGTTGGAAAAAATGCAGAGCGGTGGGGATGGAAAAAAAAGCAAGAATGAGCTAATTCCTGTCACCACACTCGAGCCCCCAGCTCCAGCAAACTTGCTAAAACTAATTTCTTGCAAATGTAAAAAAGGATGTCGAGGAGCCTGTGGATGCAGGATGGCTGGACTAAAGTGCTCCGTTATCTGCGCGAATTACAATGGTACCTGCGATAATTCGGATGTTGATCTGCAAGACAGTGATGAAGAGGAAGATACGGAGACAGTTCTTAAGCAAACATTCGACGAAATCGAGGAAGAAGGTGATGAGGTCGAAGAAGAGAACCCTATCGCGGATAACTTGGAAGAACTCAGGGACTGCGAAGCGAAAGAGAATGCACTAAATTTAGTCAACAGTGCATCACATGTGGATTAGGCCTACTGGCAATACCACTAAAAAAAACGCGCCAGGAACTTTACCTCATGGTGGTGTGGAAATGAGCTTGTTGGCCAATAAGCGTGTTGGAGTAGATTCATTTCACAAAAAAAAGGTTGATGCATAAATTATAGAAAATGTTGTCTAGTTTAATTTATTACATAACTAGTTTCACTGTAAAGTGAGTCGGAAAGAAAATATGGTCGAAAAACTGTTTTGGAGCGCCATTTTTCCAATATGGCTGCACTCTTCCGAAAAAAAAAGAGGTGGCAAAGTAAAAATTCGGAAAGGGCACGTCAAAATCTATAAATATACCAATTTTCAAAACTCCCCTAAAACTTCACAGGCAAAACTTCCAACTGATTGAACTATTAAAGTTAATTTTTTTTCTTTGTCCGAATTGAAAATTAATAATATTAATTCACAGCAGAATAAATTTAAAATTTTTATTTACTCTTGTTCAATTTTAAAAAAATTTATGGTTTTCAAGGAAAACCGTATTAACTGATGCAAGATTTTAACAGTGCTCATTAGAAAATAATCAAAAAGTCAGTAGTAGGCTTTATCTTTCAAATTTGACAATTGGCCAAATAAATTTTACTTCACTTCTCTCCTAATTCTACAAAAAGAAAACAAGTACCTAGGTAGTTTTTAAATAAGCGAATATTGTATTAAGTAAAAAACAAATAAATAATAAAAATAATAATTGATATTTTTTCAACAACAATCAGAGGCAATTGTTGAAATAAAATAATTTTATTACTAACTGATAATTTTGAAAGATGAATTCATTGCTTACTACTGATTTTTCCAATATTTTCTAATAAATACTTTTAAAATCTTGTTTCAGTTAATACGGTTTTTCTTGAAAACCATAAAAGTTTTTTAAAATTTAACAAGAATAAAAAATTTTTTAAATTAAATTCTGCTGTAAATTAATATTATTATTTTTCAACTCGGTCAATGAAAAAAAAGTTCGGTACAATTTTAGGGGTGTTATCCCCAATGAACACCTTGTAGTGCTTCAATTAACTTTAAATCATAGTTAAAGAAGACCAGTAATAAACCTAAATTATGTATCAAATTTGGTTCTTCTGCGGTAATGTGTTGAAGAGATATTAATTTTTTTCGAAATTTAGGGCCCAACTTTGGAGGCTAATAACTGCTCAGGGGTGCAACTTTGTATACATATAGGTAAGTTTGGTTAAATTACAATATTTTGGACACCCCTACATGCACCTGCTCTGTGTCGATTCTTATGCGGGACACTCTGTATATTAAATGACATTTTCAACAAATAACTGTTAAAATATTATTTTGGTTGTTAAGGAATTCTAAAATTGTAAAATATATTGCATTATCGTTAAGATGCCCAAATAGGCACATGAATGATGAGGGACTTATATAAATTAAAAACGCAAGGATCCCTTCGTCCTTTATTATCTTTGTAAATTACCTATTTAAAATTTGAGTCACTCTAGAAACAATAAAATGTCAAGTAAACTGACTGACAGTATTGACGAAATTCTTTCATTAATTTTACTTTCCATTAGCGGCAAAAGAACTAATTTGCAAACCTGTGAAATAAAGTATTAAATATATCAACAATAATTGTATGTTTTCAATTGTTTATTCTATTGGAAGATTATAAGAACGACCTTTAAATACTAACTTTCCAGTAAAGTGCAACTAGTCCTTCGTCAGTTTATTGACCCACTGAATGAAATATCAGAATAAAACTCCTTCTGCATACACTCAACACAATCTGTTATCCTGCACAAAAGAGTTCAGTTACTTTGTAGTAGCTATTAAAGAAGTGTTTGTTAATTCAGATGGAAGACCATAAAAGCCACAAAATAAATAACTGAAACCGTTGAATTGTGTTCTATTTGAAACACTTAAAAGAAGAAGAAATTCAAAATCGTACAAAGTTTTTGATTTTAAGAAAATGGATATATAAAAAATTAAGAATGAAGGGAAACCACATCAAATTTTTCGCTACGTGAATATAAAATCGCTTTAGCACATCTTTGTGAAGACAGTTATCTATTACAAACTATTTTTGGATAAGACCAGGGAAGGATGATTAAAGGAAAGTAAGCTACCAATATTAAGGTCACATGTAGTCGTTACTTTTACTTACCAGTTTAAGTCCACTAATCCAATAATTAGAAGTATAAATTGTAAGTTACTTAAAACACACTCGGAAAGCGTATACTACTTAAATCATTAAACATAATTACAATAATTTAATTTTGAATTATCACTAACAGGTATATAATCTCTAGAGGAACTGAATCGAAGTATAATGGTTTTATAACATATTATAAAATTAACACTTATTCACAACGCGAACTCAAGTCATAACCATATTCAAGACAATGTTATAATCTTCACTGGGATGCAAAATGGTATTAATAGTATAGTAGTTCACTATCGAAGAGTTGAGGTGGTACTGGGGAAGTATCGGTGAATGCGTTGAAAGTAGGAGAAATGTAATGGTACTGGTGGTACCTAGATATGGTACCACACTTTTATCTTCTTTATCAGACGGACTCACTGAGTCGGCACCAGCTACTTGTGCTGCTGCGTTTGTAATTATCGTTCGCATTGCATTAATTGTTGTGTCCACGTGATGTTTGTTTACATCAAAATATCCATCAGGCCAAATATGTGTCAAAAGTGTTGCTGCTGAATAAAGAACTGAATATTGTTGTTTTGAAACAATTCATTTTATTAATTCAACCAATTAATTCAATTTAATAAAAAAACCTCAGTCTTTTTTAATACATAAGTAAAAGTAAGTAAGTAAGTATAAAATACTTAATTCGTTCCTAGAATAAATCGCGGAGCATATTTTTTCCTATAAATGTAATTAAAGTTTCGTATACCGATCTAATTTGTAAGAGAGTATTTTTTTACACCCTGTATTACGACCATATTTTAAATATTACAAGTTTTAAGTTAGAAAGAAGGCACATATTCGCCTCGGCATAGCATCTGGTATTTGTAAAAAGCTCGAGTGGCTAGTTAACGCCCAATGGCTTTGTTTAGATTTTAAATTTCAAACGGACCCTTTTACCTAAACTTTGAAAAGAGATTACTTTTACGTATGACTGTGCTGTGAAAACGTCGTGATTTCCACACTGAGCATAACTGTTTATTACAAATTATAACTAATTCATATAAAGTAAAGGAAAGTAATTGTTAGTTAGTATTGTTCTATTTTACGTTGTCAGTTTCATTGAGAAGTTATATTTTGATTTGACGAGCATCATTAATTAGATTGCACATTCTTTTGAAGAAATAATTAAGTGTCCTTTGCATAGACTAATAAAGTCATACTTCGGGATATACCCAGTAATAGTAAAATGTCATTTGAGTAACAATAAGGGTTGTTATAAGAAGAACTATTTTGTTGTTAGTAACTGTTGATGAATCTGCACAATTGATTGGCAAATTACTAGTAAGTTTAATGACATTTGATGTGAATAAATTGTCTATGCATTTGAGGCACAGTACTGACAGTGTAGAGATCCATGGATAATGTTTTTGAGTGAGTCTTGTGACGTTTTTGTCACGGTACTCAGGTGGGGTGCATCGCGAGTTTGCCCTTTGCATCCATTGACACCTGGTGCTGGTGGATTAGTCGGGAGGGTGTCATCAAGCTAATCGGCACCACAAGACGGGAGTATGGGTGGGTGTTTTGTGAGTTTACCCTTAACATCCATTGAACACCTAGAATTGACACCGGGAGGGGTGTCAAGAACAGTACGAAAATGCTTAGATTTGTTTAGATCTGTTTAATATACAAACGAGTTTCGTGACAAGTAGTGTCACAGTTGCTTATTGATTGTGCAGTAGATATATCACATCCTGTATATGTTTCATGTTAAATGGACACAGTCATATTTTCAAATAGAGGCGAAGTACATACTCAGTAATTACTGATACATTTATTAACTTCATAATAGGGTGCTTTCTGTGGTATTTACGTTTTTCTTTAGTTACATATATATTTACGCCCGCAAGATGAATAATGTTCACATGTTTTCTACGTAATGATCGACAATGATCGACAACCGATTTCTACCCTTTTCAACCCTTTATTTCTCCTTATGAAAAATACCAAAGCTTACAAATTTCTGAAATACTCGGAAGTTCCTCTGATACAATATTTTCAGTTGATATGAAATGTGCCATAATTAGCTTGGTAAACTTCATAACTAGAGTCGACGTATAAAAATTGGAATAAATGCTTTTTCGAAAACGGTGTATTCTCTCGAAGCCCAATAAGTGGTCTTTTTTTGTAAGAAACAGAATTTCTAAATTTCCTAATAAAACGCGAAAAAAACTACCCATAAAAAATTGGGGTAGATTTTACTTGTACCCCTTACCAAATCAAATTTTGAAATGATCGTCCCATCTTGTAGAGAATAAAATAACAGATCTCTAAAGTTTTATTTATTTATTCTTAAAAGTTTCGGAGTTATTGAATAAAAATCTCCTCAGAGAAAAAAAAACAAATAATTCATAATTTAAACCAATGCTTCAAAATTACATGTTTAAAAATGGAGAATAACCCTATTACATACTTAAGAAAAAATAATATTTTGTTTTATTTGTTCGAAATTCTGATTCAGTATAAAGATACTGATTAATATTAAGATATAAGAAAAGTGGACAATTTTTATTTTAGTGCGTAAATTATAATTTTAATTCAGTGTATTAAGTTTTTGCCATTAGAGTACTGAAGATGTGAGACAATTTGAAAATTCCTGGAAAATAAAGACATCCGGTGAAAATTACATTACCTTCAAGTCTTACATCTTATTCGCAAAATTGTGCTGTAATAACTTTCGTTAATAAGCAGCCTGTTTGCGTGTTTGTACTACCGCGTCTAAATTTTTATTAAACTTTCTCCAGCTAGGTGGTTTACTTATTCAGATATTCTGTTCCACAAAATTATCAAAACACACCGCATTATCATAAAAAATTTCTAATCTTATATCAAGCGGAAAGACTTGTTCTCAGAAAATATATGCATCGAACTAGTTCAGATTTGTTTAGTTAGGTACTTATTTGTTTATTGATATATCGGGAATTTGGAATTAGTTCGAAGTGGTATATGCTAATCTAGATTTAAGATACAACTAAAACATTTTAAAAGATTTTATCTGTGGAATAAAATAAAAAAAAATAAACATATCCTTAATAATAGACGATCCATGTCCACAGAAAAAATTAAAAATATTTTGTACTTATAACAGTTTGAAAAGCAACATGGAGATAATGTTAACGAAGCGAGAAGTTATTTTAAAAGATATATTTAATTAACGTTAAAATTTGATTTTGACAAATGTAAAAACTAACTTTGTGATGACAAATTTTAACTATTGTAATAATACAACTCTATATTGAAATAAGAAGCGTCATAAAGTAGCTATTTTACATCTTTGGCGTTATTTGTGGCATGGTTTTAGACTATTCCGAGAAAAAAATAAAATTAATTAAATTAACCCTTGTGCTAAATCAGTGAAGGGTTATTACGAAATTATTGTTACCTCTGAAAATATTACACTAAGAAAAGTACACAAATACAAGGTAAAAACTATATTAACACCTATCTTTTTTCTATTTAAATAATTGTGACTTTTTGTATGTTGCTTGTTTATCTGTTTCCATAGATAGAGAGTGGAAGAATTTTATTAAAGTAATCACAGTTTCTTTTAATTATCGTCGTTATCTTTTAATATATTGGAATTCTTTGTGAGTATTTTGCCACTATATCAAAATGCAGTTATGATCTACGTCACCTAATAACGAAACAATGGGTTAACATTTTTAACATTGCGGTAATATTTTATATGTAGTTTAAAGACAAACTAAATGAAGGGAAAAAACTGTTGTAACATCACGGGTTCTCATCCAATTATAGAAAGCATAGAAAACACTCAACTGAAACAATAATTATTGTCTTGAAAACTTGTCTCCATGTCTCTAACTATTACTTAAGTACCTATTAAAACCAATTAAGTACGAAAAATATTGTTAGCTGGAAAGTGAAACATATTTAAGTTCAAAATTGCATTTTATCAAATCCTATTTGCGTGTTCTTAATAATTAGTACTTACATGAGCTTTCATTGCTTTAGAAAGATAATAGTTTCGATAAAAAAATGCAAATTTATTTTCAAAAATTTGATTGAAAAGTAGTGAAATTAACTCGCCAAAATAAGAGAAGAATAAGAGAATATAACATACCTTTTAAAACATGTTACAGGGAAGCTACAGACCCTTAAAGTGCATATAAAAAAAGTTGATACCTATATTGCCACCATAGTGATAAGATGGGTTTCTGATGAAACTATTCAAATCCACTTTATTCTCTTACATAAAATTCGATTGTTTATTTTTAATTTTGGAACGCTACTTATTAATATTTGGAAATTTTTAATAATTCTAAATAAAAAATGATACCGTTTCAAATAAATGGACTAACTTATGTTCAAGATATTTCTTTATCAAAAACTGCATTAAAAACATATTTCAACAAAATGTAATTCCCTACATTAATTTCTTACATCTTTCCATTATAAAGGATATTTCTTCCATATTACGAAAAACTTGAAGGAGCGATTTCTTGACAAAACGTAAAGGATGTCTCTTACATAAACATATTTCCAAAAACGTCTACTATCGGAGCGACACCCCTGTAAGGGAGTAGGTTGAAATTCTATTTTTATTTTATTTCTATTAGCTGGAGAATAGAAGAACGTACTTCGGCAAGTTGTTTTCGTTTGTCCAGGGCTTTCCTACAATGATATTTTTATTAATCTGGAAAGGGCTCTTAATGACTTTTACATTGTATCTATTAGAGCTGAATATTTTCAATTTAAAAAATGTCATTTAAATTGGCTATAGCCAAAACAGCTACATGGAGGTACAAATAAATTCCAAACTAGGCGTATATTTTTTCGTATTAAATAGTCGGAAATATCTCTAACTACGCCGCCGCATCTACGCGTAAGTGAAACGTACACAAAGTAGTACTTTTTTATATATATTACACTTTCATTTGTTCACCGCCCCATTTCGATAATTTTAACTAACCATACCAATTAAAATTAACCGTAAATTTAATCAGCTAATAAAACATATCCTAAGTGGCTACATGTGCAATTATTTCAATTAATTTTGAGTCGGGAAAGGTGCAGCATACTTCTTTAACAGATGCCGGTAAACCTTGGCACAACTCTGCTTTTCCAAATAATGTGCAATGATAAATATCTGCGTCAATATGGTCAACCAATATGAATAATATAAACATACTGGGTTGATTTTTAAGAGGAAACACCATGTGCCACAGTTCTTTATTCATTAATTTTTCATGTAGGTATGTCGATTTATAAAGTATATTATTATATAATTATGCATATTCCAAAAATAATGAAGACATTTTGGCATCATATGTTCCAATTTTTTGAAGAAATAGAATAGAACATTATGGTTA